TGTTCAAAAGAAAATTAGTTCGCACCTTTCTATATTAAGGTAACGATGTCTAGATATGTACCGGTTTTTGTACATAAACTTTAAATCCTAAAAAATAAAACCTCTCTATATACATTAGACCATACCAACTTACCCCTGAGCTAAAGTATTTTTCCAAAATTCTAAAAAAAAAATTTGGCCGAACCTAGCGATCGCCTTTTTACATTAGGGTAATACCTGCAATCCGGCAAAAATTTCGTTTATTTTAAATAGTTCACTGGAATTATCGCAATACTACATTAGGAGAAGTTGAATGATTTTTGGTGAGCTTTAATTACTGGCAGTAGGGTGTTACGACGTTGCGGTGATAAGAACTGAGATGTGATGAGAAGGCACTAGATCGGGGTACTTGAGATAAATGAGACTAGAACATCGATTTTTCATACTTTAAGATCCAACTGTATATGCCGAATATATAACGAAACAAATTTAAAAAGGCCATCGACAAATTTGTTTTTCAAATTGCCTTGCAAAAATACTTTATACTCAGGGGTGTAGGCGAACTTTTTTTGTTTGCTTGTCAGGTGGTACGGTATAATGTGCATGCATACATATGTACATGTCGCACATGATATTCAAAAGTGACACAACTTGAAAATACACGTTCGTCAGAAAATGCGAAAAATTATTTCTTATCACATGGTAATCATAAGGGCAAGGAAGACTTTACCCTAGGTTTTTTCAACAAATTATAACAAAAATTTGCTCCAGCTTTTGCTGAAAGTAAAATAAAAGCTCTGTGTACATTTTAAGTGCATAATTTCAAAAATGCCAAATTTTGAGTTGTGTCACTTTTGAAGATCGTACACGATATCTACAAAGGTATAGCTGAAAGAGAGCAGCTGCATACAGTTGCAAACTGAATCAATAATGAAATGATCCTATACATACATACATATTTATTAGGGTGATTGACTCGGTTTTTCCAAACCAGATTCCTCGGTATTTTTTATTTTTTTTGAAATCTAGATTAGAAACCTAAATTCAAAGCAATTTGTATCTTGAAAAATACAAGGTATATTAGCTCTTCAGAACAGCTTTGTAAACATTTCCTATGCCAGTTTAAAAATTTTTGATTCCCCTGTAAAATTTCGAATTTGTCGAATAGGGCCTTTTCATTGATAGTGACGATAGGTATGTATGTCAAATGTGCTTATGGATTTTTACATGCCTACATGCTTACATACATACATATGTAAATGGTTTTAGGTTAAGTGTTCTCATATACTTATGTATACATATTACGTACATTCGTACCTGTGTATGTATGTATGTGCGTATATAGTAGTATGCTGCAATCACAACATTTACGTATATTCTGGCTGTTTATAAGGTGTCACATTGTTCTAATGTCATATGTTGTATGTTTGTTGTAGTTGCGAAAAGTATTTCCTGCCCGCAAAATCGTTGCGACAACTTAAGAATACTTCGTATTGTTTTTGGTAATTAAATTTATTTAAATCTGGACACTGATTAATCGCGTTAAAACTCCAAAAAGTGACCCTTTGACATGAGCAGCAAATCTAACCCAATCATCTCTGAATAACTAAGAACGCAGATTTACAATTCTATCTAGCCAAAACTTCAACTTCAGGTCGACAAGCGGGTTCATCATCCTACTGCAATAAAACTTGATTAACAACTATTTAGACCAAAAGGAAAATTGGATTTGCCTATTGATGTTCGCAAAATAAATTCCCCCAATATTCTCGGACACCCTAATACTGTACTGTGACAGTGTACCTGTGGGAATTTCTTAATTGCTTTATGTCACGATATTCATACATGGCATTCAGTCTTAGCAATATTTTTTATAACATCAGTAGACAAGCGAGGGATCAACACAACTATTTATTATGTGTTGAATACAAAAGGTACGTAGATACGTACTTTCAGTGCATGCGCAATTCACATTCCCACAAAGTAAGATTTGCTTTAAAACTTTTCTTTAGTTATCTCCGTTTTTGCCAATGAATAAAACAATTTATAACAAAATTAGATTCATACATTCAACTCAATAATGAGCATGTTGTGAAAATTTCAATAGCGGGAAATTTTATGCTTGTTTTTTGTGAACATGCAACTGAGGTCATCCAGACCTTACCACGTAAGGGTTTGCATATTTTTTAAATTGTCCAGGTTTCAGCTTCACCTAGTGAAATTTAGTTAATTTATGGTAACTAGTTTTCTTTTTATATCAGGTAAATAAAAAACATAATTTTATGTCCATCTTTATCTGAAATAACAACTTGTATTCGGTCAATAATGACGAGGCAGGATTTTTCAAAAGTTCGTCCCTAACTTTGTTCATCCACAATTCAGAATGTCTTTCAATGTCATCGACAATTATTCTCTAAACCTAACTAGAGTGAAGTTATAGTGAAAAATGGCGTCAAAAGAATACTACTGGTACTGCTACATTATGATACGTATGGCTTCGTTATAGAGTAGTATCTATGTATGTATGTACATTAGAATACGTCAAAGTAAAAAAAAAAAATCCTGCAATGTGACCACAATCCAGCTCAGATTTTAGTATTTGGTAAAATATTGATCCTCCACGAATCTTCCCTCTCTACGATAAACCTAAGCGATCGGGTATCGAGTGCTTATTTTTTCCATAGGAATATCACGTAAGAAAATGAGTTATTCTTTTCTGAGGTCAATATCATTTCCTAGGATTAATCAATACACTCGAAACTATAAGAATACATACATTGGTAATCCTTAAAAAAATAATTTGGAATTTAAGGAATCTGAGTCTGAATCTATCTATGGCTGATTGCATTTCTACCATGAAACAGCTTACCACAAAAAAACTATCTGACATTTGGAGGCGTTGGAAAGATGTAGCGCTAGATACCTGCATACATAGATACATACGTATATAGTATATTTATTTTTGTATGAAAGTATGTACTTTCGTCGATTTTGCACATCACTGACGTCATCAATATCCATA